GGATTATAAAACCTCATGCGCGACTTAGGTGCTACACGACGAAATTGGTAGTACAAAAATTAGATTCCTCAGTACTTTCACTGCAAAAATATATGCAATTGGTACTTATATGCGATTTCACCCCTACTGTGGACTCCGTGACATTAGTACTGTGTGACAAAACTTATGTTTCAAAAACTTAAACCGTCTGTTACCCCTGTTGCAAAAACTTTTACAGCCATTGCTTATAAACGGCATTACTTTTACTGTGAATACTTGTACTCGACATTAGCGCCACAGTAAATACTTGGAGTCAAGTCTCTGCTGTAGAAGCAACGACTGGTCAATGTTTTTGCAGCATAGGCTCTGTCATTTAGCGCTCATGTTGTGTTTGGGTGTGTGCAGTGGAAGGAATGTCGCGTATGAATAAAGACTGCATAAGCTTTTACAGTAGATAAAATAACGTGTTAGGCTTTTGAAACATAAATTTTGTTCGTGTAGCACTCACATCGTGTACAATTGTTTGTAGTAGAAGTAATGCCGCCCATAAATAATGTCTGTAAGTTCTTGCAGCAGAAGTAATGTCGCGTATGACTGGTGTCGTAGCACTCTTGTCGGTGAGAGTTTTTGTCGTATCACTAATGCCTTGATACGTCGGCGGCGTGCGGCAGCCGGGTGGCCGACGTGTGTGTCCCGCCCCCACCGCCTGCTGAGCCTGGCGAGCGGCGCGGTGCCGCACGAGTCGGCCTCTCCTTCCGCACACGCCAGTAACGAGCACCGCTCCGGCGGACCATTCACGTCTGGCTGGGTCAACACGGCCGCCGCCGCCGCCGCCGCCGGACCAGGCGGCTGCCGCCCCTCCGGCCTCCTCGCACTGTCTGGCGCTGTTGCCGCGTCCAGCGGCTAATGGCAGCCAGGCGACGGAGTCCTGACACTAATGCTGCGTAATTGGCGTCATTTGTGGTGGTTGGTGGCTATCGCTCGAACCTTCGCTGCACGGGCGTTATGCGACATCACGGGCCTTCCCACGTGGTAGGCCCTCACAAGTGGCTCTCGTGGGCCCTTGGCCGTGTAACTACCCGAAAATCACTTGTACTGTAGCCAATCGGAAAGCGGTATTGGGTGGCTGGCGGTGGGATTTCCCGGTCTTCCAGACAATGCGAGACAGCGTCAGCTGTTGCTGCGCCAGTTTTACGTGCAGTTATGACAGTGACAGGAGTTGATCCACCTCCTCCTTTCCATCATCGGTTCAGAGTTTGTGTACCAGTGGACCACTAGGTCCGGTAACGCGGAAGAGGTGCATGATTTCCTCCGCACTGGCTCTCCTCCGCGACCTGCTCGACCACCTGTTGGAGCTGTCGTGGATGGCCAGTTGAGAACTGCCGTGACCGAGGGTTGAGAGCTGTCGTGACCGAAGGTCGAGGCTCCCGCCGGTGGAAGGTGGACCGCAGAGCGATGGCTGCGTATGGCCGGAGTGAAAACTGCTGCTAGACCAGGGGGACGATGTTCTTAGCCCTGCTACAGGACTGCTTCCAAGGAGAGAGCGTGGCGAAAAATTGGGGTTGCGGACGCACGCAAAGACGAATGCGGAGGCATGCGTCATTTGTCTGTTGTCGCTAGACGAGGATTTCAGTGGGGCGCTTGCCTGTTGCTTGGCTCGCTCTTCAGTTTGGTGGTTATCCCTTTCTGCACCCTGCCATTGACGCCGTCCAGCCGCATCTCCCATCGGGTCTTTTACGCCATGATGTCAGTTGCATCAAGGATTCGCTCGATATTTCGAATCGGGCATGGCCAGGGCTAGATTAATTTGCTTGTCTGCCACATATTAACACGCGATCGGGTGGTCCTTTGAATATCCTTCGCCTAGGTGGGGAAGGGAGGGGGGGGGGGGGGCAATTTGACCCCTGGGATCTCAAGAGCTGAGAAGGACAGAGGGAGTGTATTCACAGGGTGTGTTAGCTTGTATATGAACTCGCTTTTGTCAAAATTTCAGGTTCCCAGGTCGTGACCTTGGGGTTAGATAAGGTCAAAGTCCAGTTTGGTGTCCAGAATGCTTTCAAATCTTCTCAGGTATCTATCTTCACGGGGTTGTTGCGCGTTAGGCAAAGGATAACGGATGATCATCATCAAGGTCAATGACCTTAAGAAGATTATGGTGACCAAAATCATGCAAAACAGCTTTGATTGCTGCGTTTAGATAAGCGTCAGTGATTACGCTAGGCGGAATGTTTCACAAAACAAAACGTTGACATGGGTGAGTGACATATTATGACCTTTAAGAAATCCATGCAGGATGAATAATGCTGTTCTTGTTATAGATAAATCGAATTCAAGATGGGCATCAGCAACTAACCCATGCAGCAAGCTCCCGAGTGCAACATGTCGGTTTTGGTCTGACGTAATCTGACCTTCACACCTGACCCTAGCTCAAGGTAAATTGTTAATTCCATTGTTTTGTCGCCTAAGAAACTATTTCAGAGATGCACGGCTTCGTCTAACACTTAGTTGTTCCAACGGATTGAACGATTCCCCTGATTCCCATCTGAACCTGACTTTGACCCGCCATAAGTCGGCGATCTTATAAGGTACCTCTAAATATGTGGTCCCCAAAGATTGGCTGTTCAGTTGTCAACAATAGCGCATAATTTGGCGCGGCTACGCCACGCTGTTCGGAAATCATTCCTGGAAAAACCCTCGGGGTTCAAATTAAACCTCTCACTTGAGCGCCTGTTCAGATTTTTGGTTTGCTTTGGTTCCGTTTCTTTTGAACGGTGAGCCAAAACTAGTGTGCGTCCCAAGCCGTCTGTCAGACGCAGTCAGCCTAAGATTGCAAACAACGACCCTACTTGAGCTTGAAGGCAATCAGACAGACACATGAGGACTGCAGCCGCCGTCTCAGTTTATGGACGGATGAAACGCTCGGTTTAAAAGTGATTATAGTTGTTCCTTGTCACTTCCGTACATCTCGCAGTTGTCCCTTGTCACTTCCGTGCATCTCGCAGTGATGGAGGAAGCGCTATATCCTGCTGAATGTTTAACTGCTCAGAACGTGTCACGGCCCCAATAAGTTAGCGATGATGCTCTTGGAATTCACGGGGGTCATATGAGCTCAGCAACTTCTGCTAATTGGAACATACGGCGTTCAGTCTATATCCCCGTGGTGATGCACCAGTAACCGAAGTTTGCTCAGACGTATGCCCTCGACGAGAGTGCTTCTTCCAGTATGAATTAGCATTCGTAGACATGCCTCCAGCGCAAAGCTAGAGATGTGGGACGCGGGGTCGACGCCCAAGATTTTGAGAGGGACAGGATTTTTCATGGGGCCTGCTAACAAAGTGGGAGCTTCTCAGGGGGAGCCTCCTGGGCAGTATTGTATTCAAACAGGAGGCCACCGAGGGCGGCCTCCTGTGCCCTCTACATGTATCATATGGTCTCCTAATGCCTCTTCACCTGGAGCGGGACGCTTCCGGTCCATGACGGGACATCCAAGTCTGGCCAAGGGGTCTCGTTATGCCAAAGTAGGGCATCCTGAGCCAAAACCGCGGCAATGTGATGCATGAAAGATTCCTGTTACAACCGTGGTGCTCCTGAATATAAAGGGTGCCTCCTAGTTCGTAATGGGAGCCTCACGAGTCAACAAAGGACCCCGTTAACATAGCATTGGGCCCACGAATCTAGAGTATGGGCTACCTTGCTTATAAAGATGGCTTCATGGTCCGGGAAGGGGTCTCTTGATGTAGGAAATGGTCTTCTGGACAGGATTTAGGCTTCCCAGAGAGCGATCTATCAGATACCCGGATGTAGCCAAGGCAACCTGGCTTCCGTTGGGCCTCAAGGAAATATTTGTCCTCTTGAATCTCCTTGATCTTTGCGGCGTCGATATGAGCAATGTCAAAGACGTCCTCGTAGCTGCTCCTGAGTTCTTCCCTCCAGTGGCGGGGTGGGCCTTCCGCTGTCCCCTGCTCAGTACTGCTCGGTACTGTTCAACAAAGTCGGGCTTCATTATCGCGTTCTGCTCCGGTGCAGGGCAATGCGGGTTTCGTTCGACAGGCCCTTTCACCTCGTGTACGGCCTGTGTGTTGACCTGCTACTGGGGAAGCTTATGCGCCCAATGAAGCGAAAAATATCGCTGTAGCACTCACCCACACATTGGGAGGTCTGGAACTAGTCCGGCCTTAGCACCAACCGACCGAATCTCTGATTTGTCTTGTAGTGCGCGTTTTCGCGCGTTGTGCGCTGTTTGCTACGAGCGTTTGCTACCCCGTTTTTGCATTGCCGTAGGTCGTCGCGGGTCGTCGGATCCGCAACAACAGATGTTTTCTGGATTGACGTGACTGATCGACGATGGCCCTTTGGTTTCCCACCATATATGAACGCTCTAGGCAGTACCGGATGGGTACTTCAGGCACGTGTGTAGCGGACGCAGTGGCGGCAGCTGATGCGCGCGCACAGGCGACGTTCGCCCCCCCCCCCCCCCCTCCCGTCCCTTCCCTGCCTTCGTGCATCGTCTGGGCAGTCTTGCCGGAGCCGAGCGCTACGAGGTGCCGATGGCTGCGGCTGAGGCGGCACGTCCCGAACCGCGGCGGGTAGGGATGGTCTAGGAAAATGGCCCGGTGCTGTCCCTAACAATAATTCACACCGGTACCACGCAAAGGAGGACCCTACTTTGCGGGATATTCAGATTCCAAACTAGTAGGATGCGCGTTGACACATGTGCGTCGGATTACTTAGAGGTCTTTAAGTTGTAATAAACGCGGGTAAAAGTTCACTAAAATTTACCGGAATAGTCGTCTGCTATGTGCCTCATATAAAGTTTCATTAACATTTTTCGAAAAAAAATTAAGCCCGAAATTGGAAAAGTTTACAGGGGCATTTAGGGACTGGCCTTGTGTACATCTGGACCTGCACACCTGGCCGTACGGAAGTGCTGGCTCAGCCCGGTTTCATGTTGTTTGACTCGGCGATCGTGAGGCATTGTCGCACAGTTCGGCGTCGCCGCTTACCTTGCCGCTTGCCGACAGGTACGAAATGAGCACGTGGCGGCGGTCTCCACACATGGGAGTCTACCAGCTGACCAGCGTGGTCCGCTTCACTGAGGTGGACGTGTCGCCAAAGAAGCGGATCTCCAGGTGAGTACGGCCGGCGCCAGAGCGCCCTCCGCTGATGGTACGGCAGGCGTGGGGTGGCGCTGGTGCCTGTACAAGGATGGGCCGTGTGCCTACCCACCGATCAGCCACTCGCGTGTGAAGGTTTCTTGTTCGCTGCGTCCCAAAGTGTAACTGTTGGTTCAGCTCTTTGTGTCTGGAAGTTTTCAAAGGAGTTTGTTCTTAAGCCTGAAGAAAGAATGGGTAAGTGGTAGTTTTTACGGTGGTTTTGCGTGAATAAATTGTCCTTTTGCGTTTGCGTGGACGGCCGATCGTCCACGGGATGGCTTGCTTTATGGATTTCAAGCATTTTGTCGACACCACGGGGAGTGAGATGATTTTTACATATGCTGCACTGCATAGTTCGTTGCAGGAGCGGCTAAGCAAGGAGGGGGGGGGGGGGGGGTAAAGAGGCAAGAGTTTGTTTTTGTCTCCCTAAAATTTTGGGAGACCGCTTTGCGAAAGCTGCAAGCTGTGGGGTTATAACGCGTGTGTTACCAAAATTCAGATTAGCAGGCGCTTGGGTGGGGGTCAAATTGACTCCCCCGAATATTTTTCCGGAACGGTTTCCGAACGGCGCACCGTAGCCGCGCTCAACTTTGCTTAGCTATAGACAGTTGAATAGCGGATCGTGTGGCATCAGAAAATTTGATGTACCTTGTAACGTTGCTGACCTGCGGCAGGTCGAAGTCACGCCATGGATTCAGCGAAGTCAATTTCAAGGGAATCGTTGATGTTAGATCATTGCTGAAATCGCTGATGGCACAGCGGGATGTCAGAGGAAGCCATACATCTCTGAGATGCTTTCTTAGGCAACACAACAGTTGAATGGCCACATTTCATTGACCTAGGGTCAGATATGAACGTCAAACCAAGATTAAAACCAACATATTTTATTACTCTAGGGCTTGCTGTTTGCGGTAGTTTCTAGCACTTATTTCTTATTTATTGATGACATGAGCTGCATTAGATATCTTCCATGGACTTGTTATGGGTCAGAATAGGTCACTGAACTAAAATGACTCGGGTCGAAATTCGTTTTTGAGGAACATACTGCCTAGCTTCATCTTTGTCGCGCATTGAAATGCAAAACTCTGAGCAATCTTCTATGATTTTGGTCACCATGACCTTCGATAGGCCAAGCAAGGTCACTTACCTTGAATGAGCATGAGACCTTTTGCTTAGAACAAGTATTTAGCTCCTGGGAACACTTTGGAGACCAACTTTGAGTTTGACCCTGTTTGACCTCATTTGACCCGAAGGTCATGACATCGGAGGCTCAAACATTGATCTAGAGTTCACGTACAGACCAAAACACCCTGTGAGTTTGTTTTCTGTAGAGCTCTTAGTTCCTGAGATCTCAGGGGGATCAGATTGGCCCCCACCCGAAAGTATGATACCCAACCGGCCACCGGGGCGTGTGTTAACTAGACGCTCATAGCTGAGCTAGGTGTTGTTAAATTGAAGTCAGACTCCCCTTTTCCGCACGAAAGACCCGTTTATGGATTAGACAGCCCATGCTCCGGACCAGGCGCCTTCTGTTTCCTGGTAAGAAGGCCACTCAATGGCTCGGAAGATTCCTTTCTTAATTAGGATGCTGTATCTATATATATATATATAGAGAGAGAGAGAGAGAGAGAGAGAGAGAGAGAGAGAGAGAGAGAGGAGAGAGAGAGAGAGCCAGAGAAGAGAGAGAGAGAGAAGAGAGAGAGAGAGAGAGGATCGAGAGAGGAAGAGACAGACGAGAGAGATGAGGAGGAGAGAGATAGAGATGAGAGGGACGAGAGAGCAGAGAGGAGCACGAGAGAGAGAGAGGGAGAGGGAGAGGGAGGGAGGAGAGGGAGAGGGGAGAGGGAGAGGTGGAAGAGGGAGGGGAGAGGGAGAGGAGAGGGAGAGGGGAGCGGGGAGGAGGGCGAGGAGAGGGAGGGGAAGAGGGGAGAGGGTAGAGGGAGAGGGAGAGGATGAGGAGAGGAGAGGGCGAGGGGAGAGGGAGAGGGAAGAGGGAGAGGGAGAGGGAGAGGGAGAGGAGAGGAGGAGAGGGAGAGGAGAGGGAGAGGGAGAGAGAGAGAGAGAGAGAGAGAGAGAGAGATCCTGTGAAACTAGTGTAGTTAACACGCGCCTTGTCGATAGCATATATATATATATATATATATATATATATATATATATATATATATATATATATATATATATATATATATATATGTATAGGTTGCGGACCTTTCGTACGCTACATTTGACATCGTCCGTTGCGTTAAAAAGTTATCACGACACATGTGTCCTCTTCCCGTACATTCAACATCATTTTACGTTTCGTAAGTATCGTCCATCCATTCGCTATATCAATACATACCTCTCGTTTCATGTCGGCAATTAACACGAGGGAAAATCAGGGTATGAAACATGATCATGCGAAATATTATGGCATGGTAGAAACAAATCATGCTACCGCCACACGGAATACATCATTTAGGTCATACGCTGCGACCTATACCATCTGGCGAAATAAATCATACTACTGCATGTCACTAACTCGGGCCTAAGTCCAGGCAGCTCTCAGCGTAATGTTTATTGTCTGTGTAATCTGTTTGCGATGCTGCTCAACAACGATCATTCAAAGGTTTGATTAATTTGTCTAGTAGTGATGTGCGGTCATGAATAACAAGTTCTTTCATGATGCTGAGTTTTCTTGTGTGGTGTGCTGTTGTTATAATTGTGGTGTTTTGTGTGGCCATTTGGCGGGCGAGATGTGTTACGGTCACGATGCGTGTGTTCTCGTTCAGCCCCCTCCGTGAGGTGCGTAGTGAGGTGACACGACAGAGATGCTGTAGTTACATCCACGCGGCATGTAGAGCGATACCTACAATCCTCGCTTGGACAAGACAATTCAAATACTACATTGTTGTGCTTCGATATCTTTGTCGCCACTGGGCTGATTTAATCTATATGTAATCTAATAACGATGCCATCGACTCCTGCTACGTTTTTGCTTTATCATGGTCTGCTTATGCTTGCGCGAACATGAGGGCCGCTGTTCCAGATCAGGATACCCTGTATTGGAAAAGTGGTGCCCTTAGCTGGAGGCTTCCTTCATGGAAAGGAAGGACCTTGCCTTGCATTAAGAGGTCCTTCTTTGCACCAGAAGACTTCTTAACGGAAGGCTTTTTTTGGGAAAGGGAAGCCCTGTGCAAATCGAGAAGCTCCTGTATTAATCAGGGTCATACTATGTTGCGTTTTTAATTGCCAGCATTCATTCACATGAAAATTGATGAAGTTACAGGGTACATATAAATGAAGTTAATTTGACACCGGGTACCTGGCTCTGGCACCTCCAGCCCCTTCCCTTACATGCCACTGCCCAGGAGTGCCCTGGAAAATTTGAACGCTCACAAAATCTTCGGCACTACCCCTGTTTGTTGGGCTGTGATGAACAGCCAATACCCGTAACATACTTGCTTGACAAACCTGTTGCATCAGCATTTCAGTCAACCTGATTTCCTAGACTTCGTGATGTGTTAGTAGTTTTGTTGGAATCAAATTGCGTGGCGTTTCAAGGAAGTTATGCTACGTTCCGGACAAGGACAGGGCTACAACTGGCGTCATTTTGCGGTCCACAGCTCACATTCCCGTCGTAAGGTCATGCCTGGCTGCTTGGTGGCGATTTCTAGTGACGTTCCAGCGAACTGTTCGCTCTGCGATCTGATTGGCGAATGTCTGGTATAGCTCAAGGATCTGATTGGCGAATGTCTGGCATAGCTCAACGGCTCTGGCCCGACCACTGTAATCGTTGAGAGGACGAATCTCGCATTTTTGTTGTGTAGTTTGACAGTGGTCGACACACTCAATTGGACCAGGTCTTCTTTCTCCTCGTGGTGAACCGGTTTTTATGTAAGGGCGCTTGTACCTTTCAATGATTTACGTATCTTAGCGCGAGCACTTAAGATGATGGCGGTGCGACGATGTGTGTTTTGAACTCCGCCGCAGGTGACGGGGGGAGGGGCGCCTCACTCGCAACAGTCGGTAGGTCGTGTCTGGACACAGCTCGCTCAGTTCCATTTCGTATGTCATTATATATATATATATATATATATATATATATATATATAATTCGTATTACTCTCCGTCTCACCCCGTCTTCCATCGCGGTAAAACGTCACCACCCACGGAGGAGTGTCTGGTATTGGCCATACTTATTGAATGAATTTTTGTTAGCATTTTGAATTCATTCTCTTATTCACTTTTTCAGCAGTTTTCTTCAGCCTGGTTCCATAATTGCACCTGGCCTCGACAGTTAAGTGTTCGGACTTAACTTACAGCGAACATGTGCTTCGATGTCCATGCGGGACAGCAGAGGCAGCACACATTTTAACCTGGCAGCAATGTCAATGTGGAGCTTCATTTCGACAGTATAGCCCATCTGTTCGTAACGCCACGCATTTCATGGGGCGCTGCAGCTGACGTTGCTGGTTATGGTTCATATGGCCAAGCTGCTGCCACGGTTTGGAGGTTAGAACATGCTGTGAGCACTAGTCTCGGTTACGCGATCCCGGGGACGAATACCTGAGCTATCATAATAATCGAAAGAACCAGGAGCATGGAACTTCAAGTGCGATATTTCTCTTTCAGTTACTTTTGGCAGCTGGCTCTCTTCTGTTCCTCTGATCTGTCTTTACCCGTGAGCTTTGTGATACTCGCATGTTGAAGAAAATTGCAAATGGTCGTTAGTGCTTTGTACATATTCGGCATGTTTGACAAGCGCTTGAAGTCACCATCAGTTTAAAAATGCGGCTCATTTGGCCCGTGGCTGTGGGTCAGGAAGGCCAGTAAAGTTGGGCCAGTAAAATCGTACCAACCGCACAATTCTGTTGCAAAGGTCATCAAGCTCCGTTCAGAGCTTGCTCGAGCTCCGAAGCCCCAAGCTCCGATTTCTGATGTCGGTAGTCCATTAAGGACTGTCCTTCCGTGATGAGCAGCGTATCTCAGCA